CAGTAGTAATGTCATTTTTAACTTACTTAGAGTAACCCCATTCTATAAATAATAGTAACTATGATACCTGACAGTAGGATATACTATATTATACAAAGTTGCTGACTCTAGCTACTAATTATATCGTAGTAACCAGCTGAAAGTTACATTTTTTAATTAATGACCCGCCTATATCATAGTAAACATTATACCTGACAGTAGCAAATACTTATATCGTAGTAACCAGTTGACAGGTATATTTATGAATTACTCACAATGATCCGCCTATACCATAGTAAACCAGACAATAGTAGCCAATAGCTATATCATAGTAACCAGGTGACAGTTACATTTTTGAATTGCTCACAATGACTCGCCCATATCATAAGTAAACCAGAAAATAATAGCCAAGTATTATATCATATAACCAGCCAACTGCAGCCAATAGTTATATCATAGTAACCAGTTGACAGTAAGTAGCCACTGAGTATAGTTATTAATTATGACCACCCTGTTTTAGGCGGCAAGGTAAAAGGAGAGCTCTTTTCGAATTAATCGCCAGAAGAGATGTTTTTGTTTTCGGGGAAAACGGCCATTACTCAGATTTTTTCGACTTTACGAACAAAATTTAAATTCCACTGGCCACTAATTCGGGGCTCTAATTAAGGACAAAACTTCTCGGAACTCGAATTATATCCAATAAAGTTTGGCAACAACAAAGTTTAGGGTGATTAGAATAGGAAGTGGTCGATTTTGACTTCCTCTTGTATTATTTACTAAAGAAAGTTCTTGCTATTTTAAAACGCCTAAAGTCCTGAGCTAGGGCCAGGCTTGGACACAGGGCAGGGCATTGGCAAATTTCCATGCCATGCCCTGTGCCCTGCAATGCCCTGCCCTGTACAGGGCATTCGACTTTCATGCCCTGCCCTACCATGCTCTTACCCTGCAGGGCATCAGGGCATTTACAGGGTATTTACAGGGCATTTGGGTATATTTTGGCGGACGCCTCCGCCGAGCGGTCGATAATCGGCGGACGCCATAACTTGGTTAGTTTAGCAGCTAGAAACATGTAGTTAAAAGCAGAAATTGTTATCTGTTATAATCTACACATTAAGGCAGTAATTTATGTTTTTGAAAGCAATATTGTTATCGACCGGTCGATAATTTACAAATGTTCAACTTGTACAAAAAACAAGCTTTTTTGCTTAGAATTGTAATTATAATTTCTATACGATTTAGAACAACAGATCGATAAGAATACATATAAAATTTGAAATTAAAATATACTAAAAATTATCAACCGGTCGATAACAATACTACTATTAAAACCTTAAAATTATGCTGTTATTTGTAGCCTATAACATATAATAACTTCTGAATTGAACTACATGTTTATAGCTGCTAAACTAACCAAGTTATGGCGTCCGCCGATTATCGACACTTTGGCGGAGACGTCCGCCAAAACTTACCATGGCACAAACAGGGCATTTGCAGGGTAATGCAGGGCATATGCCATGCCCTGCCCTGTTCCAAGCTATACCATGCCCTACCATGCCCTGTAACAGGGCATGGTACAGGGCACCCTGCCCTGCGTCCAAGCCTGGCTAGGGCTCTGGGCTAGAGCTTTAGGCTAGGGCTCTGGGCTGGGGCTCTGGGCTAGGGCTCTGCGCTAGGGTTCTGGGCTAGGGCTCTGGGCTAGGGCTCTGTGCTAGGGCTCTGGGCTATGGCTCTGGGCTAGGACTCTGGACTAGGAGTCTGGGCTAGGGATCTAGGCTAAGGCTACCATGGGAAACGGAGCCAGTTTTAATTCAGGTTCGAATCGAAGGTTGAGCTTGAAAAAATAAGCCTAGGCCCAAATAAAGTTTTTAAAACGAGCAGGGCCCGGCTTACACATAAGTAACGGGCCAGGCCGGGCCTGAACAAAATTTAGCTCGGGCCTGAAATCCCGGAATAGCCCGGTCCACTTGCACTTAAATAAATTTGGGCCAAGCCAAGCCTGAGCAAAACTTAGATCGGGCTCTTCCTGTCATTCAGGCCCGGCTCGATCCCCATGTCCAACTAGGGCTAATAATAAAAATCCATGTCCTCAACTGCTTATATACCCCTCCCCCCCCACTCCAGAAGCCCTCTAGTCCTACGTACAAACTACAAAGAAGGTTCATCAGTAAAAATTCTGAATAGACTTCTAATGATAAATTTAAAACTGTGGACATTTTGAAACAGTTACAAATTACATTCTTTGAACTCGAAGTTTAGTCTAGGAAAATTTTTGAAATCATGCTATTTTTAAACCTACCCTAACCATAAGTCCTAAAATTACCGTAACCTATAAAACTCAAAATTACCTTGCCCTACCCTGCTCTATTAAGAAGACCCTGAATTACACTACCCTGCCTAAATTACCCTGCCCTACCGTATTCATAAAACCCAAAATTACTTTGTTCTACCCTGCCTTGCTTTACCGATAAGCCCTAAAAGTAATTTATCCTACCCATAAAACCCAATTGTACCCTAACTTGCCCTATTCTACTTTACTCTACCTTCTCTTACTTTATCAGCATATAACAGTTAAAAATTATCCAAGCCCTCCCAAACTTCAAAAATTTACCAAAAACACCTAAAAAATAGTGCCAAAACGCCTTTTTAAATTTAAAATGATGACTTTTCAATAAAACCATTAAACCCACAATGAACTTGTAAACTCATTCCAAATTTTACATTCCCTACTGCCATTCCGAAACGAATGTTAATATTAACTGCACGAAATATTAATAGGCATGGCAAAAAAAGACTGCATAAGTGCACTTATTTAGTAGGTAGGCTAAAAATAGGCCTAATATAGGGGTTAATTAGGCGAAAAATGAAAATTTTTAAATTTTTTAGAAAATTTTTAAATAAAAAAAATTTAATTTTAAAATTTTAAAATTTAAAAAAAATCTTTAAACTTAAAAAACCTGGAAACCGCGATCGTATTTTACATTGAAAAAATGTCATTTTGCACGAAAACCAAATATTTTATGCCGTTTTAATATAGAATATTCTAAAAGTAAACACTTGAGATAATTATTAGCATCCACAACAACTTTCTCATATCATAATTGTAAATATAACACTTTAGAATGTAAATACTTTAACTACAGTAATTGCAAATACATTCTGGACGTCAATGCCATGTGAACGAGTACGTGCAGGTTTTCATATTTACTTACGTTAGCTCCAACTCTACTTTATATGTACTATACTCAGCTTTAGCCTAAGTCTGAGCTCAAGCCTGACAACATCACAAGCATTAGCCCAAACCTGAACCCAAGCGTGACCCAAACCTGAGTTTGAGACTGAGTCTGAATTTCTGCCCGAACCTCAGTCTGAGGCTAAGCATAAGCCTAAGGGTGAGTTTTAGTTTAAGCCACAGCCCAGCTCTAGCTTTTGTTCTAGCTTTGGTTTTAGTTCTGGCCTTAGCCTTAACTCAATCTTTAAGCATTTGTAATTCAAGAATAGCTTTTTTTCTACTCTACAATCATAGTTCTATTTCAGTCTACACCTAGTTCATACAATAATAGCTAGCATAATGCCTTTTTTCTAAATACAGTAGTTAAAAACGTCATCACAGTCCAGTTTAAGAACGCTAAAGGCTTGCTTGTAATGTGTTTGAAACCCTTGGCCGTTTTAATGTCCTTCTATCTACGTAATCAATCTCATTTTGTGCCTAATTTAATTTAAAATAAAAAAATCAGCGTTTTTATGCCCTAGAACAACATAAAAAATACTTGTACTTGAGTTTTTTACTACGTAAATACAAAAAATGGTCATTTAACCTATGTTATGACACACAAAGATACATAAATCATTGTAAGGCAAAGATGTTTAGGTAAGCGAGAGTATAAGCAAGGTAAAGAAGATAGAGACATGAGTAATACTTTATTGTAATAAAACTTTTAGTCATACATATATGAGTATATATATATTAAGTATATGAATTCCTTTCGTCGTATGTTGCATTATATATCAGCCTTTTGGCAATGTTTTCCATTGCTTCTCTTGAGAAATTAAAGGTACAAGGAAGTGAAATACTCAAGATTCAGTAAAGCAACAAGGAAGAGGTTCAATTAGTCAACCTTAAGCACAAAGAACAAACTTTAATTAGCCTTACATGTTAGCTAGAAGCCCTAGTCTAGATCTCTGGCCCAGAGCCCTAGCCCAGAGCCCTAGCCCAGAGTCCTAGTCCAGAGCCCTAGCCCAGAGTCCTAGTCCAGAGGCCTAGCCCAGAGCCCTAGCCCAGAGCCCTAGCCCAGAGCCCTAGCCCAGAGCCCTAGCCCAGAGCCCTAGCCCAGAGCCCTAGGCCAGAGACCTAGGCCAAAAACCCGAGTTCACAATATAATCTAGAGTTCAAACCCAGAGCCCTAGCTTAGAATTTTAGCTTAGCGCCCCAAAAACGAGAAACGAGCCAGGCCAGCCTTGAGTTAAATTTAGGTTGGACCGGGCGTGAAAATTAACAAGTACATGAAAATCAAAGCTAAAAAAAGTCCGGCCTGCTTGCACGTAAAAAAAATTCGGGCCGGGTAGAGCCGGCCTGAGATAAAAATGAAAACGGGCTGAGCCTAAGGGTTGAAACAGGCCCGCAAGCTGTGCTTAAAAAATAAGCCCTAGCCTAAACCCCTAGCTTAGATCTCTAGCCTAAGCTTCAGTTAAACAAAAAAAAATTCAAATTGGTTTGGTCTGGTCAAAAAATTTAGAACCGCGGTGCCAATTGTAGTTTTAAGATTCAGTCCAAGCAATAAACTACAGTAATATAATAATTAGTCCAGTGCCATAAAAAGGTTTGATTATTATTTACATTAGTCAAAACAAATGCCTAAAAAGAAAGTTTTTGTTTATTTTTGGAAAAAACAAAGAATTGAATCATTAGCAATATTTTGGGAATACAATTTGTATTTATTGACACGAATATTTACATCTAAAATGGCATGTTTAGTAGTAATGTAAACAGCTGAAATTGTAAATGTAACTTTACCGTAGTAATTTTAAATGTGTAGCTTTACTTTAGCCTTAGCCTTAGCCTTAGCCTTAGCTTTAGCCTTAGCCTTAGCCTTAGCCTTAGCCTTAGCCTTAGCCTTAGCCTTAACCATAGCCTTAGCCTTAACCTTAGCCTTAGTCTTAGCCTTAGCCTTAGCCTTAGCCTTAGCCTTAGCCATAGCCTTAGCCTTAGCCTTAGCCTTAGCATTAGCCTTAGCCTTAGCCTTAACCTTAGCCTTAGCCTTGGTTTTAGTTTAAGCCCGAGTTTGACCTCCTGATTCTCCTTCTCCGTACTATGCCTTTAATTCAACCCCGTCCCCACCCATCACAAATTTTAAAAGTTTTGCAGAAGAACCAACACATGTTCGTATCTTCCTCCTACACATAACCCCTAATAGTCGGTTTGCAGTGGGAAGAAATGTAATTAGCATATGTATTGTTTATTCCTGTCAAAACAACGTAAAGTTATTTGTTATGATACGAAAAGCAAAACACCCCATTACTGTCACTTTTTGGATTTCAAAAATAGATCTTACGGCGCATATCTTATTGTAAAGAAAGTTCTTGCTATTTATGTTTTGTAAAGAAAGTTTTTGCCATTTTGTGTTTTGTAAAGAAAGTTCTTGCTATTTCTTGTTTTGTAAAGTGTCTTGTTATTTTTTAGTTTGTAAAGAAAGTTCTTGCTATTTTTAAATTGGAAAGAAAGTTCATGCCAAAAGTTAATGTATATACTATTTATTTATTCATCACAATTATGTACAACATACTATACCATAAATACATAACATATTACAGTAATTAAAAATTGAGATCGTGTTTCAACAAAAAAAACCAAAAATTGATAAAACATTATGTAAATAACACCACGTCTCATCCACGACCACAGTTGATACTGCCACAGAGTAAAAAGAAGCCGTTGGCTTGGCTGCCAGTATAAAGGTTGCCGCCGCCCATACCTCAAAATAATGGCATAAAGTTCTGGGCTGATATAACATCAATGACGATGATAATGAGTAACAGTACGATGAGTACGAACTCGGATAACATATTGTACTATGTTTTTGATATTCAAAAATTGTGATTTGTAGGGTTTGTGAAAAGGTCCGTATTTTAAGTTTATAATCCTAAAATTACGTTAAGGTGATAGTAAAAGTAGAGTAGTAAAAAAGATACTGTAGGCTAGTACAGGATATTTGGTAGATCTAAGTACAATACTCTCAAAGCACAACACAGTAGCAAGAGAAAGAGTCAGAGCTATGAAAGCAAGCTTTTTAATATAGTTGTAATACTAGATAAAAGTCTAGGTTTTAAAGTCGATGTTATAGTAGACAGGTCAATTGAATGCGAATCTTAATTTCGCTAAAACGCCTTTTATAAACTAATCCAAACTCCACCTTCTCAATCACTAACAACTATAAAAAGAACGTTTAACAACGTAAACACGGCTTCTTGAATTGATGAAACACGGTGTAACAATAGTTCACGTACCAGCTACGTTTATATAAATGATAACAAGTAACAAATCCATAACTGTAATTTTAAATTTATATTTCAGTAAACGTTTAAATCAGAACCATAACTCCGTTGTTGTCTTAAACTTTTTATGTTTTTCTCTATTAGAATAGCTCGAACGACAGTACCAACTGTACTTCGGGCTTACCCCCGTGTAGAGGTAAGCAACAGGCCGGGTTCTTCCTTCCTTCGGGCCGGGCCAGACTTGGCCAAAATCAAAAACAAGGAGGGTTTGAAAGTTAAGCCCGGCGCGAGAACCAGGCTTAAAAATTGGGCCTAAGCCCAAAAAGAAATTTTTTAATTTTTTAAAATTTTTCATTTCAATATCTGTTGATGTATTTCGATTTTATTGGGTACTATGATCCATAAATAACCTGAAAAAACAATTTAAAGCCAAATTTCCGTTTATTTTTTAAATTTTTAAATTTTTTAAAACGAGCTGGGCCGGATTTGCCCAAAATCAAAAACAGGCTGGGCTTAAATGTTAGTTGCTCACGTTTACCCCTGTGTACCTTACTCTGTCTTGAACTACTTTAGCTTAACGTGTCTTACTTTGTTGCTCCTTACATTACTTTATACCTTTTTTTTTATTCCTTATTCTAAATTTTAATTTTTTTATTTTAAATTTACCTACTGATTCCCATTTCGAATTTACTTAAAGCTACAGTGATGGGTTTTTGTAAGGAACCTTTTTCTTAAATTGACTGTTTTAGGATTATTTAATAGCTTTTTTATAGCCAATTTCTTAAGAAAATGTAATGTTTAATCTATGACGTTGATAAAGTATAAGGAAAACAAACAAGGCAGTTTTTTCTGTTTTGAAATAAAAAACCAAGCCCAAAATAAACTTTTGCTAACAAGTAAAAAGACCCTTATAAGCTTTTTATAGCCTATCCCCAGACTTGCTCTAACTCTACTTTGACAATATCTTAATCCAACCATACCCCAACCAAAATCCTACCGTAATTTGTTCATTTTATCTCACCCAGTCCTAGGCCTACTCACGGTAGTCTTGCTCCACCTAATCTATAAAAAACCTTCATTGACTCCCCCCCCTACTTTAATTGTTAACAACTAAGAAACATCAAAGTGTATTACGTATACAAACCGTCCCAAACCGAAACACGTTGTAACATTTTGGTATTTATCAACTATACTTTGTGTAATCTATGTTTTCTCATAGCGTTTTTAAAATTTTTTATTTTCCCATAAATTTATTTAAAAAACTATCGTCATGGTCATTAAGTTACGGTTCTGAACGTTATCGATAATTCTTTGTCAGGGCTGGAAAAACGGAAAGAAAGTTTAGAACAAGGATGTGATAGGCAAACACAAGATTAGGTATAGCGGAGAAGGTATGGTAGAGTAAGTTATAGGCAGTGTTTTGGCCGGACCGGTCCGGAGCGTCTTTCATCGGTTCGGCAATTTTCGATTCCGGTCCAAACTCAAAATTTTTGAGCCGGTCCGGTTCGGAAAAAATTTTTTTTATTTTTAAAAAAAGCAAGGAGCGCTAAGACTGCTTTATTTGCTATTTTTAAAACAGTGTTTTATTAAAATGAAAAAAAAAATTTTGGACCGGTCCGGAGCTTTTTCTTCGGCCCGGGTCCGCAGGTTTTTGGATCCGGTCCGGCAAAACACGGGGTATAGGTAAACCAGGGAAAGAAAAGTAAAAACAAGGTAAGGCAGGGCATGAGCTTTAGGGTATAAATATGAAACACCGAATTTAAATTCTTGTTATTATAGTTTATTCCCGAAATATTGAAAAAATACAATACATTTCGATATACAAAGGCAAAAGACTTTTTTTGTTACAGTAACAAAACATACTGTATTTTGTGTTACAGTAACAAGAAATAAAATACTTTATGCTACACTGACAAGACATAATGTATTCTATGTTACAGTAACAAGACAAAAAAGACAAAAAATACAGTAAATTCTACAGTAATCATTAAATAAATCATTCTGTAAAAACTATGTTTTACGGTAACAAAAGACAAAGAAAAATTCGGAAAAGACGTTTGGATATTGTTGTACCTTGTAATAAAACCTCGAGAAACATTACAAGTTTCGATGGTCAAACAGTTAGACAAAGATTAGTTTTGGTAACAATACAAAAGAAACAAGATGATCAGCTTAAACACGATCGAATTTTCAGTTTTCAAAAATGTAGGTTTTTTATATTATAGTAGATTAAAAAACGGTTAAAAATCGTTTTTTAATCTACTACATCCTCTGAAAAACCTACTACAACATACAAAAATAAATTTTGTGAAAAATTTAATTTTTTTCACCTTCAAACTTAACTCTTTAAACATTTACTACCTTATCCTTGATTAAAAACTTGAAAATTTAGTGCCAAAAGCTATATTACGCTACTAGAAAACCTTTTAAAAAAAATTCACATAAAACAGATACGTTTTGCCCTAAAAATGCTATTCATAGTAATGTATAATCATTTTTAGTAATATAATGTAAGTTTTAGTTCTGCAATGTAACTTTTTAGTATCTAATATTGATATTAATGTAGCCTCTAGTACCCAAAATCAAGCTTTTAGGCCGAATAAGATAGAAAAAGGTAATTAATATACCTAAAAAGCTAGTAGATATACCCAAAAAAGTAGTAGGTATACATATAAAAAGCTACTAGGTATACCTAAAAAGCTATAATAGTAGGTATACCCAAAAACCTAGTAGGTACACCCAAAAAATGAAAAAACGATCGTACTTTCGGCCTCAGACAACACGATTTATTTACCCGGCTTCAGCGAAATGACAAACTTATAATCGGCGAGGTTTTACAAATCACGGGCGGTCTAGTCCAGGTACTGACTCAGCCAGCGGAACCCTTCGCCGTAGCCTTGGCGACGTAGCACCGAGCACATGAACACTTCCATTGGTCGGCTGACCAACTCGGAGCGGGGGATCTGTTGTTTGCCAGTGGTTTGTTGTGAGATGCCCAGGTAGTGTTTCAGGTGCTCTTCGGAGAGGGCGTTTGGTTTGTCGATTTTGTTACCCAAAATGAGAACTGGGGCCGAGGCGACCTGTTCGTCTTGGATTAGGGACAACAGCTCTTCGCGCGACTCATTCATTCGTTCGCCATCGGCCGCGTCCACTAGGAATACTATGGCGTCCACCGCCGGGAAATAGTCCTTCCATACTCGTCGTGCTGAAACGGAAAATGTCATTAAATGTCAAGTAAAGCTTGAAAAACCCAAAAATGTCATAAAGTACGCCCAGATCTTTTCAAAATTTTAAAATTCAAAAAATTTCACAAAAAGGTAAAAACCCCTTTTTTATACAAAAAAATGTTCAAATTTCAAGTTTTCAAAAATTGAAAAAACTTTTAAATCCGTTACCTAAAGTAACATTTTTTATTGAAACATTATTAGGTTGTTCAAATAATTCAGTGCCCCTCGCAAAGCCAACTTCCGGGATTAAAGGAGAAAGAACTATTTGAGCAACCTAATATTTTAGGTAATAAGACCAGTTAAATTTTTAAAAAAAATCGTTTTTAAGTGTATTTTCCGAAATTTTTTTCGACTTGCGTATTTTACTCAAAACTCGTACTAAAACCCAATTAAAGCTAGCATAATATAATAATATAGTTATGCACCTATATAAACATCCTTTCTTCCTCATTAAAATCGACTTAATAATAAAACCTGAACAAACAAAAACACCAAACATTAATTTTTAAACTATCAAACCCTTTTTCATTAAAATTTTAGCCAATTAATGTTTCTAAACATGAAAAACCATTAAAAATGTTGTTACTTACCTTGTGCGTGACCACCCAAATCAAACGTGGTAAATTTAATGCCTCCTAAGCTCAATTCTTCTGATGCTAAAAAGAAAATGATTAGAAAAGGCTTGTAAAACCTTAAAAATATCTTTAAATCAATATTAAAATTGAAAAACACAAGATTAAGATTAATGAAAGCACCTTGCACGCAAAAATTTTAAATTCAGTGAATGCATCGTGCAACCAAATCCAAAGACTCAGACCATATGAGTTTTTTACAAACGCTAAGTTTTAATTATTATTTACCAAACTGAACCAAATTGCCATGAAATCAGCAAAACTAGCTTCAAAAGGTTTAGTTGCACGGCGCAAGATTAAAATTTTCGAAAAATATTTTTTTTGACAAAAAACGTACTTGGATGTAAAGTTGGAACGTGCTGAGCAATTCTGTCGTCTTTTAACATGTGTAGTAAGGTTGTTTTTCCAGCATTATCCAGTCCCAGGAAGACCAGCTTTCCGGATTTTTTTGTTAGACCTACAACAATATAATTAGATTTTTAAAGTTTAATTTTAAGTAATTGTTAAATTCTATAATGCAATAGAGACCATAACACATCCTTTAAACCTAATAAGTTGTTTAGATACATAAAGATTTGACTTAAAACTCATTAATTTTCATATTTCACCAGCAGATCTAGACCTCATTTTAGTTATTTGATCAAAAAATGTAAACGTATTCGTTGTTTAGCACGTTTATAAATTCTAAAGCAAGTTCAAATACTACTGCAACTATTTTTTACAAAAGAAAGAACAAGCAACACTATTTTCCACCAAAACTCATTAAATTTATATTACACTACCCATCCACACCTCATTTATTCCATTTTTCCCAAAAATCGACCTAAAAACACAAAAATAAAAGAAAAGTCACTTACCCAAGTAGTTCAGAATATCGGAGAACCAGCTTAGGATCCAAGACATGATTCTGTTAGATGGGTCGGCACCGTTTCAGTTAAAAAAATATAGATTATGTGCTGTTTCGGCTTCCACGAAACGGGCCGAACAGTCGGTGATAAACCTGCAAAAATAACGAAATTAGTCGTGTTTTCAGTTGTTGTTGATAAGAAATTCATGTTGTAATCATTTTATAACGCGTTAGTGCTCGAAAAACGTAAAATATAGTAGAAATAAAAAAAAATTTTGATGACTAACATAATATCAAAAATCAAATTATTGATAAAATAGATTTAGAAATAAATGTGAAAATGAATTTTACGTTCTTAACTCAATATTCTGATCCTAATATTATCCAAAAAAAAATAAATCGATACCAAGTACACCTTGCACCAAGCTTTTATCAAAAGCAAAAAGCAAAGTTAAGAGTGAACCGCATGACAAAATGGTGTGATCAACAGCCCAAACTACGTTTCTTTCACCTTTTCCGTAGTTTCTAAAAACTTTTCTTCCCTTTTCAAACTTATTTTTATGTTTTAAACCATATTTAGCTGAAAATTCAAGTTTCACCTACTATAATATAGCTTTATTGTAAAAAGATCACTTGTCATATAAAAAAGATGACAAGTAAACATAGAAAACTTGTCGCAAATATTAACAGAGAAAACGCGTTTATAAAACGATCGGAAACCCCGCAATCAGCTGATTCGCAAACCTTATGACCGACTAGACTTTAGTGATGTATAACATGATATAATTTTGCTCAAACGCGCCAAAAATGGCAATTTTGACTAGATTCAGAATCATAGTGTTAGAAAAATCATTTTAATACCAAGTTTTTCAAAATTTGTCGGAAAATTCGCACGGTGCAAAATAAGTAATTCTATATAATTGCACGGTGCGAAAAATTCGAAAATTTTTGAAAAATTTTGCCACTGAAAATAACATTTCCATAGTCTTGGCAATCTTAAAACGCCCAAAACTGTCCATTTCCCTATATGTTTCAAGCCAAAATTTGCATTTTTCCCTCATCAACCCCAAAAATATTGACAAAAATCCGTAAAAAAGCTCGAAAACAAACGTTTTGTATAATATAATACCCTCAAGTCTCGACAAGACACCAAAACACGGAATATCATTGTTGCGGAATCCCATCAAGTCTCCGGAAAATCAGGTTCCAGACGAAAAAACGCGAATCAACCAGAAAGCCGATGTCTGCTCGAGTTCGGCGCTAGCCTCCACGTGTCGCTCTCTTCGAAAACAACGCTCTCTCGCCTCGAAATGGTCAGTAAATTCGGGCCATGGAGAAAAGGAGCTAATTATTATTGCCAGTTTTATTGCGGGTTCAGGGTGTTATTGGCCGGCTAGTGTCAGTGTTTTCATCGAAATTTTAAATCTTGTTGTTCTAGGCAGTTTTTGGCTATGAAAAGTTATTAATCTGTTTTTGACTATAAAACACTATTGTCAGTTTTTTGGCTAGAAAAATTAAAAAAATATTTGAAAGTGCAAGACAGTACATTTGTTTTTGTCATAAATCTATTCAAAAAGCAATTTATAATGAAAAGAAAGCTTCAAATCATCAAAATAAGATGAAAAATGACATTGTTTCGGTCATATATTCATCCAAAGGATAGTTAGAGACTAGAAACTTGTTGTCATTATAGATTATTTATCTTATCAACCATCAAAATAAAAGAAGTTTTGAAAGATCAAGAATTTTGAAGTTACAGTAGCTCTGCCATGAACTGCTTTCCCAATAAAGCACTTTCAAATCTACAATTATAATGTTTCTAGTCTCTGACTGTAACTTGAATGCACTTATGCCAAAAAGAATGTGATTCTTCATATTCCTTAAAACATAATAACGACTTTTTTGACCATAACCAGGCCTTTTCTTCTAATATAAGCCACAAAACTCCAGATGTCCCCTCACATAAACATTGCCCACAGAATCCTCCCTAAATAAATCAACAAACGCCTCAGCCCTAGCTACAAAGCATCAAATTATCTAGCTGAATAATCAACGCAAAACATCACACAATTCCGTGGAATGTAGAACACAGACAGATCAATCGAGAAGCGAATAAAAGGGAAATCGGACCACAAAGCGGAGAGAGTTATTGTTTCAACAAAGGAGAATGCATTTAACAACACTACGTGAACTATTCGATCGACTACGTGCTCACGGCTGTTTTTGCAACCTACTTGTGTGTTATTTACTCCTATTTTTGCGTCATTATGAAGTTTATAGCTCATTATATGTTAAACATAAGGAGGTGATATAAAGGTAGAAAACATCATTAAAATAAAAACCACAATTACAAGATACTAAGTAAAATTAATATTAAAATATTGATTACAATCTTATACACCCCCACAAACAATTTCAAGACCAACCGAGTTTATAAAAATGAGTTATGAACCATTACATATTATCCATGTGAAGCTGATGCCAACATGAACAAATAAATCGAAATAAAAATCAAAACCTTCTTAATAATACCTAAAATTATCAAGAAACAACCTACTAAACCCAATCGCACCTTATTACAAAGCTATACATGCATATAAATTTTCAAAAATTCCTAACAACTAAATTTATATTACACTTAACCATCAGACAGAATAATGAATAAAATAGCTTACTTCCACTACCAAAACTTATTCAAATTACATTCAAAACATCACAAAAACGCTTACACATCACCATAAAAAATTCTAAAGTTATACAATTCACGAGACGAGAGATACATCACAATATATTACCCATGACATCCGTTTTAGACCCTGCTGACGTAAATGATAAAATGGTGTTAAAATTCAAATCCAAAAGGTTATTTTCTCTAATCACAACCTTTTATTAAACCTAAACCTTCGTTTATAACCAAATCTTACCCACTTAGAGTAGAGCTTTAGGCAAAAACGATCAAAACCCTTAAACCAAGCCTAAAATAATACCATTTTGCCTGTAAAATCTTCCAGAAAGTCTTGTGACTCACGTATAACAAAAGTAGTAGCACAAAAGATAACAGACGTTCCAGAAAATTATATTATCCATGACGACATCAACAACAAAAGCATAGATTTTTGGATTCTGACAAAAGTTTTCGTCATAATATTCTAAAAACCACAAAAATACGAAAAAACATAAAACAAAAAACCGTAAAATTCATACCAAAACCCACAAAAACCGTCTCCAAAACCGTGTTCGAAGCGGTTTCGCACTAGTCTCGAGGCAAAATAGATCGCGAGAATCGAGAGTGCACTCCAAGCTTTTTATATATTTAGAGTGCAAACGCCCGGAGGGCTTTTTGAGACAGACCGGCCGCGTGGCGAGCATTAGCTCTCATCTCTCTCTTTGCTCCACTAAAACACGTCGAATAAGCGGAACGCGGGAGTTTAAAAATAATTTACGGAGACGTTTTATACGGCGAAAGCTTTAAATGACATTGTTTATACGCCGAAACATGTCCGAATATTATTATTTTTTCCGGAAAATCGAATAATTTAACCATTATTGGTATTTCTGAACGTTCTTATGGCTACTACAAGTTAATCTAATTTATCTTCTACGGTTAATTTATCTTCTTCTTATATTTATTTAAGCTGGGCATATTAGCATAAGATGGCTTCATCTCTTGTTCAGATTTTGAAGGCCAATCTGAGCGGCCAGGTAAGAAACCTTCTTTAAAATATAAAACACATACTTTACCACCTAATAAAATTAATTTTAGCTGGTTGGCCGCTTGTTTACTTTTCTAATCAACATGTACTTCATCAGGACGATTAGTGGAGATGTTCTTGGCTTGATCAATGTCCGGTAAGTTGTTAAATCTTTGTTTTTTTGACATTTAGATTTACAGATTGAATTTACTGTATATGACAATCAATTTCTTAGTAACAGAACCACTGAGAAAGACCTGCTTGAGCGCTGATTTGACTGTCAAGGATGCTATGACCTATGCGTGGCTAAGGTAATATGAACTGAAGTTTGTGGTAGAAAGATGGGGATGGATGGGCCTGAAATTTTTATTTAAGCTTGACATAGTCTGCTGTTACTATTTTATTGCAACTGAAAAAATTTGGCTATTTGAAAACCTTTCTTATCTGTTTGAGAAGTCTAACTATGCTTTTTTGGTCAATGTTAATATAAATTGTAGTTTTTCCGTGCGAAGGTGGATTGCAATATTTTTATAATTTTTACACAGGTTTCAAGAACATCTATGGATGTTAAAAAGTTTCACTTTTTAAGTTTTAAGCTTTTCCTTACTTATATATTTCCAGCCCATTGGTGGCCATACCTCTTGGATCAATCTTATCCTTTATATGGGCTTATTTACCAGCTGGTGCTGGAATTAGCTACGAGGATTATATTTTTTCAGTTGGCTGCTTCTGTACGGCTTCTTTGATGGAAAGTTCGGCAGAACCACTGGCCATATTAGCTATGAAAAATGGGCAAAACAATCTGTTTGCTGCTTCTCAATCAATTCTGCTGATCGCTAATAAATTCACGGCTTTATTGTTGGTTTTAACCGGACTTCCTTCTTATACTGCATTGTGTATTGGTCAGGTAAGTCATTTGATTATTTTTTGAATTTTTAGTTATATTAACATCTTTAAATTGGAATGTAATCAAGTATTTACATTGATGTACACATTTGATAACTAAAATTCTAAACATGCTTATAATCTTTTTACTTTTAGCTCTTCGGATCGTTGGTGTATACATTTGTTCTATATTCTTCATTTATCAGCTCGTATTTTAAAAGAGAAATTGACTTTTGGCCATTTATGCAATTACCATCAAGATACGAAACAAGGTACATCAAGTTACTGAGCACGTTGTTTCTACATTCAGTGCAGAAACAACTGTTGACTGATGGTTCAGCTTATGTTATGACTTTTACTAAGCAATTGAGTCTTACTGAACAAGGTAATTTTGAGTTTTTCAAAAGATTTTGAGAACTGATATTGTAGTAGGCATATTAGTGGATTTTTTGTCGAAAAAGCGAGTTTTTAGATCTTTTTGATAAATTTTTGAAACTTTTCACTATCTATGTTATAGTAGGTTTAATTACACATATTTTCAGCGGTATACGACGCGATAGAACGACTGGGATCACTCGTAGCCAGGATAATTCTGCGGCCATTGGAGGAGAGCTGTGCCGTTTACTTCTCAGCTCATTTGAAGCGAACAGAGACATTGATCGTGCCAAGGAAACTTACTGAAGTGTTCTTAGCGTTACTGAGAGCATTATTTACATTGGGTTTGGTCGTATGTGTATTTTCAATACCTTATTCGTCACTGGCTGTCAATATCTATGGAGGTGGGTGGTTGACTTCTTTTTGTCATAACTTTTTTGAGGAAATAGTTAGGGGTTTGAAATTTTGGGAGATTAAGGGATATTGTTTTAGTTTGCTAGCTTGAAAAACACAGTTTCTAAATTACCGTAGTTTTTATGTTACAATAATTTTCTCGGATCCTACTTTTAGTCTATTTTTATGTTTTTTTTTGTTTTTTCTTATAAAAATAAGTTCTAATACTTTTTTAAACTTAAATATTAGCATTTTAAACAAAGCAGCGGCTTTTAATTCAACTTATAAAATTAAAAAAATAGACAAGATTACTGTAATTTCAGGGGAATTACTAAAACAAAATCGTGGAGCCCTTCTTCTATCACTATACACATTTTATCTCCTCTCAATGGCTATCAACGGCCTATTGGAATGCTTTGCCTTCTCAGCAATGTCGTCAGAAGATATACTAAAACACAGTAAATTCCTCTTCGTATCCTCTCTAGTCCATCTGGCTCTAAACATTGGTCTAATGACGTATATGGGCGCGCCGGGCTTTGTGTTGGCCAATATAGCCAACAGTTTGATTAGAGCCATCTACAATTGGGAGTATATCAGAGGCCTGAAAGGTGTAACGGAGAACATATTCAGTATATGGAAGATTGTACCCGATTGGAATGTGTTTACATTACTGTTGGTGTCATTGGTCGTTACGGTGTTGAGTGGATTAGTGAGTTTTAGAAAGATGAATTTTAGTTTAAAGAAGGGATGAAAATTTTGATATTTGTCGTATAACTTGTCACTCGCAGCTTGCGCAACGTTTTTGCTTTGAAATTTTGCTATTTTTCGTTTTGTAAAGAAAGTTCTTGCTATTTTCCGTTTTGTAAAGAAAGTTCTTGCCATTTTGTATAATATTGTGCTTAATAATACTATATAATATTTTCGTTTTAGATCTTCTTCTCAACACCTGGGCTAGTCTACACAGGCGCTCACCTAGCTGTAGGTGGAGTTATGTTCATATTAATCATGGCATATCTACATGAAAATGGGGAATTATATCAACGTTTGTGGGAGAAATTGGACTAATTGAAGCTTTTTTTTGTGAAGTGCTGAAGACTTGACATTTTAAGACAAAAGTTTTGAAATTTAAAAAAACGAAAAAATTTTCTAGTACAAAATCTATAATACAATGTCCTTTCGAAATTTAATAAAATTTAAAATTCATACAATGCTTTGCCACGAGTTATATTGATATTGCTACCTATTGTAAGGGTCTCGATCTCAGGAACATTTATGGTTATTACAAAAATAAGTAATTTTAATGATTTTTAGTCTAGTCTGATATTATTTATACCTAATCTACTGGCGATATCTGTTTTTATAGCTATTTAATAATAATAAATTAATTTAATGATTAAAAATGGCAAGAACCTTTTTTATGACATTTTTCATGGGCTTTCAGAATCTGTATCGACGTCGAGTTACAGTAATGTAAATATTTCCTTGCTATATATAATAATACATGATGAATATACGATCGAGTACCACAAAAAAATTCTTTGTAATTTATTGTCGCAAAACCAACATACAATGTCATTTTTGATGGGCTTTCAGAAACTGTATCGATTGCTACTGTAACTGTATTACTCGTCGAGTTACAGTAATGTAAAGTTTAACTTGCTATATAATACATGATGAATATACGATCCAGTACCACAAAAAAATTCTTTGTAAATAACATAAAAAAAGTACAACTGTTGCTCAACTGTAGCATTTTAGCAGTATTTTGTTGATATTGTTGGTTTCGTTGGTTTTGTTCTGCTCGTTAGTTCTGTTGCATTTCGTACTTCAATAGTACTAAATGACACTAAATAACATAAAAGAACTACAACTGTTGCTCAACTGTAGCCTTTTAGCAGTATTTTGTTGATATTGTTGGTTTCGTTGGTTTTGTTCTGATCGTTAGTTCTGTTGCATTATGTGCTTCAATAGTACTAAATGACACTAAATAACATAAAAGAACTACAACTGTTGCTCAACTGTAGCCTTTTAGCAGTATTTTGTTGATATTGTTGGTTTCGTTGGTTTTGTTCTGATCGTTAGTTCTGTTGCATTATGTGCTTCAATAGTACTAAATGACACTAAATAACATAAAAAAATTATAACTGTTGTTCAACTGTAGCCTTTTAGCAGTATTTTGTTGATATTGTTGGTTTCGTTGGTTTTGTTCTGATCGTTAGTTCTGTTGCATTATGTGCTTCAATAGTCCTAAATGACACTAAATAACATAAAAAAATTATAATTGTTGTTCAACTGTAGCCTTTTAGCAGTATTTTGTTGATATTGTTGGTTTCGTTGGGTTCGTTGGTTTTGTTGGTTTTTTTCTGATCGTTAGTTCTGTTGCATTATGTGCTTCAATAGTACTAAATGACACTAAATAACATAAAAAAATTATAACTGTTGTTCAACTGTAGCCTTTTAGCAGTATTTTGTTGATATTGTTGGTTTCGTTGGGTTCGTTGGTTTTGTTCTGCTCGTTAGTTCTGTTGCATTTTGTACTTCAATAGTACTAAATGACACTAAATAACATAAAAAAATTATAACTGTTGTTCAACTGTAGCCTTTTAGCAGTATTTTGTTGATATTGTTGGTTTCGTTGGTTTTGTTCTGATCGTTAGTTCTGTTGCATTATGTGCTTCAATAGTACTAAATGACACTAAATAACATAAAAGAACTACAACTGTTGCTCAACTGTAGCCTTTTAGCAGTATTTTGTTGATATTGTTGGTTTCGTTGGTTTTGTTCTGATCGTTAGTTCTGTTGCATTATGTGCTTCAATAGTACTAAATGACACTAAATAACATAAAAAAATTATAACTGTTGTTCAACTGTAGCCTTTTAGCAGTATTTTGTTGATATTGTTGGTTTCGTTGGTTTTGTTCTGATCGTTAGTTCTGTTGCATTATGTGCTTCAATAGTCCTAAATGACACTAAATAACATAAAAAAATTATAATTGTTGTTCAACTGTAGCCTTTTAGCAGTATTTTGTTGATATTGTTGGTTTCGTTGGGTTCGTTGGTTTTGTTGGTTTTTTTCTGATCGTTAGTTCTGTTGCATTTTGTACTTTAATAGTACTAGATAAATCTAAATAACATAAAAAAGTACTACAACTGTTGCTCAACTGTAGCATTTTAGCAGTATTTTGTTGATATTGTTGGTTTCGTTGGTTTTGTTCTGCTCGTTAGTTCTGTTGCATTTTGTACTTCAATAATACTAAATGACACTAAATAACATAAAAAAGTACTACTGTCTGTGAACACTCTGTGAACACTTTCGGAACTCTGTGAACACATAAAATTCCAAAAAATTAGAAATCAATCCTGTACAATATCAAATATCACTTTATACAAACTATTTCAAAAGCATTAAACAATAAAATTATATAAATACATCATGATATTAAATTACTTATTAGGTGGCAAGGTTTCGGCTCGATACGAATTTAGATAGGCGGATCGTACCAAGGCGTAGGGGAAACAGGACTCGAGGAGGTTGTAGTTGAGCCAGGGCGAGTCCTTGACGATTTGTTCCAGCAAAATGTACAGGGATTGGTTGAGGCGGGTGGCTTCGGGATCGGCTGTGTTTGAGGATTGGAGCAGGGAGCGGGAGGCTAGCTGAAATCGTTTTCTTATATATAGGTAACCAGGAGCGGGCGGAGGCTTTTGCTCTGGGGGCGGTGGTCGAAAAAATCTGCACAGGTACCTGTGCCAATTTTTTGAGTTTTTTTTTCAAAAATCCACAGGGGGGGACCATGTTCAACTTTTTTCGAAAATTTTTTTTCCGGGGGGGGGAGGGGGTTTCCCCCCCCCCCCCCCCACATTTTTTTTGGAGTGCATTGTGCATTTTTTAAAAAAGAGCTGCACCGTGCAATCTTTTTTAAGAAGAACTGCACCGTGCAAACGTATTTTTTAGACTGCATTGTGCAAAGCTTTTCTTCTAATGCACTGTGCAGTCCAGTGTTTTGCCGGACCCGTCCGGACCGAAAAAAAAGTTCCAGACCGGTCCGGAAAAAAAATTTTTTTATTTTAATAAAACTGTTTTAAAAATTGCAAATAAAACATTTTTTTAAGAGTTTTTAAACGTAAAGAAAGCAGTTTTAGCGCTCCTGGCTCTTTTTTAAAAATAAAAAAAAAATTTCCGGACCGAAAATTTTTCGGACCGGACCGACAAAATTCTCAATCGGACCGGTCCGGCAAAACACTGGTGCAGTCTATAATAAAAAAGGATGCACCGTGCAATCATTTCTTGACTGCACTGTGCATTTAAGAAAACGTCTGCATAGTACAATCAAAAAACTGAGTACAAAGAGTATGCCCAATGAATAGCCCTACCATAAATTCAAATTTTTTTCTAAGAATTTTTTTATCACCAGTCGATGAAATTGTACTTACCGCTAGGAATTCCCTCATCCTGTCCGGTATCTCATCGAACGAATGTATTGCGAATAGGCAGCCACTTATTGTAGATATTGCCTTCGATATCGTGTGGCAGTTGTTTTCCGTCGCTGAAAATGGCAATTTAAATAGCTTTAAGTTTATTTAAAAATATTTTAATTATCTCCTCCCCCCTCCTAAAAAATGTTTTTAACCCCGCCCTCAAATTTTATTCAAAAAATTGAAACTGCCTTTTCGACTTTCAATGAAAAACTGAAAAGTAAAAAATTATCACCCCCTCCCCCAAAGAATGTTCTTACCCTCCCCTAAAAACTTACTGTTCAAGCTGGCCCGATAGATGGATTGTCGATTTTTGGACAAGAAAGGTAATGCTACAGCTATGAACACGATACAAAGGCAAAAGTTCGAGTATTCTCGCTCGATTTCGTTCGTTATCACACCTCTTTGGACTGGGAGACCAAACTTGGTTCGTAGCACTGCCACCAGGCCCATGTCTACCTCTTGCTTCATGCCTGCGGCCGCGCATATTTCAGCGCATCGAACTGAAATGAGAATTTTAAATTTAGGTAATAAAATCGATAATAGTTTCGATTTAAAAAAATAAAATCTTTTTAAAAAATAAGCCTACCCTTAGCCTGTGGATTCGATTCTACTAGATCTTCCAACGAATGCAATAAGAATGGCATTCGTTGTTGTAGACAATGGTTCATGGCATCGTAGATTAGGTCTCTGAAGGCGCAAATCTCTCCAATGATTGTCACTCTTTGTAGTACGGATTCGATTGGAGATCCACTGTTAGTGGGGGATTGATTCGAAGCGGCAGAAGAGTTGGAGCCTCCGGCGTTTGATGAGCCTGCACTGTGAAGGGACACTGAAACATGGAATTTTAGAGTTTTTGCAAATTTTATAAAAAATTTCTCGTAGCTACCTGTTAACCCACCCCACCCCTGGCCTACCCTTTACACATCACACCAAACACTTACTGTTACTCTGCATTGTGGCACTCTTTTTATGGCCGTTCTGAAGCAACTGCGCCGCTATATTCGGATCACTTAGGGCTCGGATCAGCTCTCTCATTCTGTCTGGTGATGAGTACGATACTCGAGCGTTCTTCAGTATTTCACGCTGTGGATCTTGTCGTACCACTCGCATTATTTCGCCGATTTGTGAAGACACCAAGTTGATCACCTTCTCCGTTATGTACTTTACGCCGTATGGGCCGATAATTTGGGCCAATGCTCGTAATTCCTTGGCATCGGTGAACTGGTCGGCTTGAAGGTCGGTGTCTGATGATGAGACAAAGGACTTGAAGTGGTCAGAGTACATGATTTGACATAGCGACGCTTTGTGGAGGAGATCTGAGTAGAAGGTGTAGTAGATTTGAGAGACGGTGGGGCGGCCCAGAGAGTCCAGAGGTTGGGTTTGTTGGAGGAGAGCGTCGTTGAAGATTTGCGATACATTGATGTTCACTATAACAGTTTTTATTATTTTAACTTTGTAAAAAAGTTCTTGCCATTTTTTGTTCTGTAAAGAAAGTTCTTGCCATTTTGTGTTCTGTAAAGAAAGTTTTTGCCATTTTTTGTTTTACCGCACCGTGAAAACCATCTTTTTCTGACTTCACCGTGCAACCTTTTCTTTTGCTTGCACAGTGCAGTCTTAATTTAATAAGGGCTGCACTGTGCAATCATTTTATTAGAATGCACAATGCAATCAAGTTTAACCATTTTAAACCTTAAAACTACAATTTTCAATGCCAATTTAATATAAAACCGACCAAAAAATTTTTCTATCCCTTAAAAATAAGCCTAAAACTAAACAAAAAGATAATTTTTAAACCTACAACAATCGTCGATTCTCTGAAGTGTTGCCAACTCAGTTCGAATGTACTCCATGACTTCGGACGGTCGTTTCGGATAGGTACCGGTCGTATTTTTGGTAAAATTGACTAGATTATCCATGAAGAACACCTCCAGATTGTCTTGGAGGAATGCTTTCGGGTGGAAGAGGTGATCCACTACTTTGATTCGCTCACATTGCTTTAGACTTTGGCACAGTTCGACCAGGTACAGGTTTCGTCGTTCCAGCTCTGTGAGTTCGGTGGCCGACGACTTCTGACGATGCGACTCGTAGCCGGGCATCTGAACATATGGTTGGGACTTTTTCTCGTCGAAATTGTAGTATTTTACAGCAATCATTTGGGCACAGCTTCGAGGGGAGGTTTGCTCTGATAACTGATGTTCTTCTTTCAGCATTTCGTCGAATAAGCGAGCGGTTTGCTTGGATAACATTTCCAGCGAGGCATTGGCTGAGAGAACCGCTGAAAAATAAGTTTTCAGTGTGATTTTTCAATTTTAGGTAATAAAAAATTGAATTTTAAAACATTTGTTAAATTTTTTTAAACTTTGTATTTCACTTTTTTAATCTATTTTTTCCAAAAATAGAACCCTTACCCCTCTCCATGATGTGATCCTTCTCCTCCGGGCACATATTATGTGTGGCGTTCACAAAATCGCAAGTGACATGAACAAAGGCTATTGAATACCTGCTTTGAGCCGGGAAATTCAATGTCACCTTCAACTGTTGCTCGAATTGCTGTGGATAAAAGCAATAAATCGAGAGATCACTGACTTCTGTTATCATTTCTGGCACAGCGTCGATCATTTTCGTATGAAACACCGTGCTATTACATAAAGAAGCCAGTTCTTTATGCTCTTTCAGCTGAAACCTTGACCTTCTAAAGCTGGTGTTAGCTTGAATCCTAAACCAGTCCATTCTCAGTCCATCTAGCCTCACATCCTGCTCCTTGATGCCAGATACACAGTCCACGAAGCATCGTAGCATTTCGCCTTCTTCTTCCTTTATTGTAGCCAAAACTCCTGAATTATCTTCGACAAATGACCGTAATGCTACAGAATCGTATGAATACATGAAGCTACGGTAGTATGTGCTGATGATGCCCATGTTTTCGGTTACAATTTGGCGTAGTTCGGCCATATAAAAGAGAATTTCGGCCAAACATCGATCATGGACAACATTCTCGAGTGCTGCTCGCAGCTTCTTGTTAACATTGACTAGGTCTGCATGTCGTAATAGCCACAGGACTTCATCTCGTGCAAACGAGAGGCCCATCCATACAAACAGTACTTTTGGTCCTGAAATTGGGGCATATTAAACAACCTACCCAGAAAAAATTTTTAAATTTTGTTACCTAAAAATATCATAATTTTTCATAAATCAATTTTTTTTTAAACGCACAAAGCCAAATTTAAAACATTTTTTTAATTTTATTTTTTTACGTACTATTGACTTAAAAAAATCTCTTACCCAATAACCCAGGTTGATCATGTAACAAAGCAGCCATTTCCCTCAAGGCATTTCGAATAAACTGTCTTCTGTACAAATGGAATATTCCACAACTCTGCGACGTATCTTGAGACATCTGTTTTAGCTCTTGGATTCGTTTAGAAGACCCTTTATGACCTTCAAAGAAGGATATTAACCATGGGAAAAGGAGTAGAGGTTCGTCTCTGAACAATTGTAGTGACAGTGTATGCTCTAACACTTTGTGAAACAGTTGAACTGTGAACTGATCTTGTAGAAGTACGGTGTGACACACCACTGTGCCAACTGAAATGATTTATTTGACTTATGAAAAGACTTATATTAGAGTAGAGACATTAGGTATAAAGACTACAAAAATTGATGTAACTAACCCAATATCAAAGCCATCGACATGAGTTTAACATCAAAAGATAGTAAAAATCATGCTCTACAACATTTGTTACCTAAAATTAAAAGAAATAATCAAAGAGCTTACATATGATCCACTTATCCATAGTTTCGATACTCAAATATTCGCAAGGTACTGTGTTGGTTAATGCCGCGAATATCATTTGTTGTGGTGTAGCTATTAACGATATCATTCCGGCATTTCGTAGCTGTTCAGCGGATATGTTTCGTCTCAAATATATTTCGTATAAGCTTCGGAGTGAAGATTGGACCAGCTAAAATAGTGAATAACATCATTTTGCTCATAGCTATCTCAAAAATTTCAATTTTTTATAAAAATTATTGTGGAATGGAACTTCTTGACTTTTAAAAACGTTTTTACAGTATCTTTGTTACCTAAAAATGTAAAAAAATCCCCAAATTTAATTTATTTAGCTAAAAAGATTTAATCCTACTACAATATAACCCAAACTCACCCGATTGATAGGCGCAAAATCCTCCACCAACTTTTTGACCGGGTTGTCATAGTCAATAATCATCTGTCCAAGCCTCGGAAATGACAATTCCGACCGTTGATTAGACAACTCATAAGCAGCGTTATACAAAGCTAATATAGCCTTTCTTTCTTCAATTCGACCCAAGAGTATCATCAATGACACGAAATTTGACATTAAAGTCAAAAAACTGGAAGTTACATCATAATTTACAGTAATATCCAACTGTATTTGATTTGCATCCATCTGAGTGAGTAGTTGAAGTATGTGATCCTTTAGGTCTAGTAGTTCAACAAACGTGTAGTAATATAGTGATAGGTTCTTCATTATATCACTTTTTACTGCATCAACGTTTGACATTGCACTCTGAAACATTTTCTATCATTTCAAGCCTATATTTGATTAATATATGCCTAAATTTTTAATTTCACCCATTTTAGACACAAAAATTGAGAAAAATGCCATTCTTTTTAATGTAACTTTTTTAAAAATAGACCTAGAAACATGAAACTTCGTTTGTTTATAGATTATTTACTTTTTCAACTAACTCAAAAAAGAAAACTTTAAAAATAATAAGCACTGTAAAGTTACAGTAACTTTACCGTACCCTACTTTCAATTTTCTGAAGTAGGTCAATAGAAACAGCTGTAAACATGAATTTTACAGAAAAAAACACAACTTTTAATGTTTGTAAATTTATATCGTCCATTTTTCTATGCACACTCTTTCAGACTAGGTCATTTTGTGCCTAAAAACCGAAAAAAAATCAAGAACCCTTACCGAATTTCGTTTCAAATCCATGGATGGAAACTTTTTGACAAGATGTGCAGTAGCTGACTCCAAACTCTTTTCTTGCAAATACTTTGGCTTCGATTTGGCATCAGCACACGCCTTCTTAACATTGTAGATCCTGGCCAACATACCCAAACTTCGATCGTTGAGGATAATTAGCTTTTCAGCTATTCTCAACTCCCCTGCTTCCATATTGGCCTAAAAACAATTGCAAATTACATTTAAAATATTATAAAAACACATTTAATAACTTATATTAACCATAGCTAACTATAAATACAAGTTCCGATCAAAGAGAAATGAAATTAGTCAAATTATATTATCTATGATTCATCAAGCAAAAAACCAACTTTTTCAAATTTTTTAAAGAATTTCTTGAAAAAAAAAGATGGTATCCAATAAAATTTATCGGATGATGGCCAAAGCGTCCGAATCTTTATAAAAACCGCAATAAATTCGCGGAAATAATTTACCGAGCGAAAGTTGACCCGAAATAACATTCTTGGGTCAACTTTTGCTTTTGCAGTGAGGTTGATTTTTATGGCTTGGCATGAGGAAGTGGCCGAGCTTGAATGGTAGGATCAGTCCGATCAAAATTTTACTCAAGCTCGGCCTGAATTTTTTTACGTGAAAACGGGCCGGGCCTTGATCTTCAGGCCGAACCTTTTTTTTCAGGCCCGGCTCTACCTAAAAAAAATCCCTCTTAGATTATAATGATGCAAGTTTTAATCAGTTCGAAAAAATAGTTTAAATTAGATCTGTAAAGCAGAAACAAGAAGATAATTTGTCGACAAGTTCTGTATTATGTTATCAAACTGGCGCCGTGCATCATTAATGGACTCCTCCGTAACCTGGCTTTCGGTGGTCTTAAGGTTGCTTAGTATAAGGTAATCAAAGCCCATCACATTGTCGTTTATAGGTTGAAAATTCTTCGAAGTGAGGTGACCTAAAAGTAGCCTTGTCGATTTTTTGCAAAAACTTTTTTTCCAAAAATCAAATTTACAGGGGAATCATGTTCAACTTATTTCGAAATTTTATTTTGGGGGGCGAGGGGCTGGTTGCGAAATAACATCAGTAATTACTTCTACAAATTAGTTTTACCTGAAGACCAGTCAAAGTGCCTCAAAGTTACAACGCTATTTTCTTCAACACAGTCTATTGTTGCCAATGGCAAAACGTCACGATGGAAAAACCACATTGAAAAGTTGATTTGATAAGGCCGCCTTCCCATTTCTTCCCAATTGTTCGTTTTCTTATTGTAACCGATAAACTGAAACACGAAATATAGGCGCCGACATAAAGAAACCGCCATTTTTTACAGTAAATTACAGGCAAAGCATGGCGGGTTCTTTATGCGGCACCTATAAAAACTAAATTTTTATAAAAAAAGAGGCGTAATCTGCTACAGTGGAACTTCTGTAAACGAACTCTTTCATAACGAAATTTCCGTATGTCGACCAGCTATCAAATCCCCATCGTTTTTTAAAGCAACCTTTTTGGAATTTGCATATTATAATTTCACTCGTACTTACTTTACCGTCTTTATAAAAATGGATTCCATCAATACCTTTCGTTTTGTACTCGTTATATACTACGCCGGAGTGGTCTAATTGTAAAACGCAAGTTCCAGTTTTAATGTCATAAATTCGTGCACTCATGCCTGAAAAAGACAATTACACACATATATAAAAAGTATTTGAATATCAAAGAAATTCTTACCGAGATACATCACTTGATTAATACTACCTAAGATGCGTATAATAAGAAAATCTGGGTAAGTAAAACGAAGTATGACATCCTGTCTACCGGTAGATACATGTATTAGTATTAGTTCGTTTTGGCAATTTTGGTACACAACATACTTTCTGTATCCATGTACGTCAACGTTTATTATAGATAAATAGTTAGATTTGGCAGCTTTGACTTTGTATTCTTTCTGATTATATAAGTCGACCAGAGTACCGTCGCTGTAATATAACGTGTAGAAATCGTAGCGTTCTTCAGACAATGCACTGTAGACTTTGATTATCTTTTTCATTCTTAAGTCGTATACTACATACGACGTTTCCATGTCTACTAAAAGTTGTGTTGATTTGTTTATTAGATGTAATTCAAAAACTTTCTTTCTAAAATCAACATTGGTTATCAATATTTGTTTATACTCTAGTATCAGTGCCATTGTTCCGGTATATGAACAACATATTGATTGCTTTGTAAAGTCAATAGCATTAAATGTTTCAATATTGTTGTCAATTGTACGGTAGTTCGTGCTAAATAAAATTTAATGTAGTATAATAAACTTAAAGCAGCATAGTTTCAAATTGAAGACAGAAGCTTAATATTTCATTTAAAATGGCTGGAAGTCACTTACAACGAAAAAGCTTCTGCCCAAGTTTCACCACTAAGACGGTATACCAAGTTTTTATAACACAGACTTCGAAAGTCAGTGTTTGCTAGTCGGTAGAATGATTTATTAAGTGCTGCTAATCTACAAAACTCTTCCATGTTTTCTATATGACCGATAACACGTAGCCATACCTAAAAATAGAATCTAAGGTGCCTGCAAAAGTTTGCCGCCAATAATGAAAACGTAGAGATTAATGCTATTAATCATTATTAGTGCAAATGCCGGTAGATAAAAAAGCGTTGTAAACTGACTTCATTAGGCAAACTTTAATAAAAAATCATTTTTGACTTAATCTGAAAGCAAAAATTTCTTTCGTGATTGTATAGATCTATATATTATATAAAATCTATAGTCTTGACCGATCTTTTTTCCTTTGAGAGCTTTCCGATTGGTGACACGTCGTTTTTACGGCGCAAAGCATTCTAAACTTTTAAAAAATGCTGTTTGTAAGCTTTTGGGTGCGTCCCACAACGACAACGTTTCGGAAGGCCAGAGGTGTGATTCTTCGATAGACATGAAAATCGGTCCTGGCTTGAACAAGACCCCACGTTGAACAAGGCCCCATGTTGAACAAGATCCCACGTTGAACAAGGCCGCATGTTGAACAAGGCCCCATTCGCTCTAAACGTGAGTTTTAGGCTCGGTCCGTTTTCCATTTTGCTCAAGTCCGGCCCGATCCCCATGTCTATTTATGGCCACATTAAAGTAGTTTATTGATGTAGAACAGGCAGGATTTATTGTAAAATACGATCATGTACCTTGTAATTTTTAAAAAGCTTTAAAATTTGGTTTGAGTACTCAAAGTAGCGTTTATTTTGTTTATTTACTTTTAAGTAGGTTTTAAAAAAACATTAAGGAAAGCATGAAATGATAAGGTTATGTTAATAAAACAGATAATTTAAATATTGTTTGGGTAGCAAAAGTCATATTGGGTAAATATGTGATGAATAATTTACCACCCAATTCGGCACTTGATACTGAGTTTTATGAGCTCAACGGTGCATTTTATACCTCCTCTTCCCAAAACTGTGGCTTCGTCGGCTTTTGGTGTCAGATTCGCATCAGAATCTTCTCCTGGAACTGAATCATTGTCCACGTTTTGTTCTCCATGATTTTTTTCATCTTCGGAAGCCTTTGGTTGATCAAAAAAGGCTTGGAAAGGATTGTATTGATAGCAATAGCCAAGAAAAGGACAACAACAATAACAAATTTCATTTTCTTTCGAGAAGTTTGAAAAAAAATGTTAGATTTTATAGAAAGCGATGTTGTAGTAGATGATTAGGTAGTTCAGTAGCTGGTATTGAATGAAATAAGCTTTATAGAAGCTTTAGCAGAATATACGAAGCTGTAAGATGGATCGAATATCATTCCTGGAGTTTATATATTCGTTTTTATCTTATTTTCCCTAATTTAGTTTATTTGATTTGTTTGGTATATTACATAGTAGGTATAACCGGACAAAATATACGAAAAGGTGACTAATCATGAAAAAATGTGTCGTTTTTCTAAATAATAGTAATTTTTGTAAACAAAACTTCATTTTCAGAAATCGAGGTCCGGCCCGAATTTTTTTAAACGGGCTGGACCCTTAAACAAAACGATAATAAAAAATTCCTCATAACTTCAACCAAACTTAAGCGATTTATTCCAAATTTTAAAATGTTGTACAAGACACATTCTGTTATCTTTCGGTCAAGTTTGAACTTTCTTTGTTGATAAGAGAAAAAGTTATGCCAATTTTTCCCAATAAGATCATGGATAATATAAAATCTCTCATAACCAGGGACGTCGCTACGGTTTTTCTCTTGGTGGAGACCCAAAAAAAATTTTTTTTTCGTTTTTTCACGCACAGGTACCTCTACCTGTGGATTTTTTTCCGGATCGGCTCTGAGGGGGGGGGGAGTCACCCCCAACCACCCCCTCCAAACGACGTCCCTGCCCATAACCTCAACCAAAACTCAGTGATACAACGAAAAGCTGACAGGACAATGCAAAACAAACATTATGTCCAAAATCGCATCATCTTATTGTTTATTCACGGTTAATTCATTTGATATTCAATAACATACGTCTAGTACTCCAGCTCCTCTAGCTGCCCCTTATATTCACATACATCATCAAAGTAAGCTCGAATTGGGTCGTCAATGCCTGATATGCTGACCCATAGTTCTTCTCTACTTTTATCTTTATCGACCATTTTTCCCGCATGGCCTTTGAATTTACCGGTCACAAACATTACTGGTGTTCCGAGCTCCCTGGGTATCACTGTTTCCAATTGGGACTGTTTTAGGGCTGAAAAGTGGAAGTTTAAGTGTAAAATTAATGTCTTGAAAGTAAACATAGTATTTTAAGTAAGAAATAATTTAAAAATATAGTATATTATTTAAAAAATTGGTTTTAATACCTAAAATATCAAAAAGAGCAATTTTAGTGCCGCATTATAAAAAAAAACAAAATTTCTACCAATCATAACTAAACCACAATGTAAAACAATGTATAAACCAACTTACTGTGAATTCTCCCTCTATGGTCCTTCAGTTCACAATGATCTTTGGAAGCCGCGTCAACTATCACCATCTTATCCTTGTAGTAGTCGCCTCGTTTGTACCTTTTGTCCACTATTCTAACTAGTAAATTCGTAGCTACCCACATCTCGCTCGTACTTGGTTCTATTTCTTCTATATCACTATCAGATTCATCTCGATACTTCGATTCGTATCTGCCGTTACTTCTGCCATTTTCTTTAGGATTTCGGTCGTTTTTACTGCCATTTTGTCTTAAATCTCTTTCGTATCTTTTGTCATTTTGTTCTTGTATCCGCTTTTCTTCTTTTTCATATGTTTTCTTATCTAAAAACAAAAGATTTAGTTAAAAAATAATAAAAAAAATATATTAACATAGGCTACGCATGTCGGACAAGATCTTCAGCGAATTTTAAAGTCTAAATACATTAAAGCAACTCTCAGATTAATATTAAAATAAAGCCGAAAATCTCATCTTGCTAATATTATACGTTAAACGCCTTTTTATTCATTAGAAAACAAGTTATGAAGCGTTATATTATAGTACCCATCAACTCCAAACAAAAATTTAAACAGAAGAAGTTGAAAAACTTACTGATAGTCTTCCCAGAAGCAGTAAACTCTTTCTCAGTAACTGGCGTCAATACCACAACCGACGTTTCCACTTCTGTTCCATTAACCAGCTTTACAATCGCCCTTTTAGTGATATCATCCATGAACATCAATCTCCCATAGTTTCCTTTGTACAATTTATGGTCTTCGATGTAAACCGGCTTGCCTTCAGCTAATTGAGGAGCTGGAGCATCTTTATCAGCATCATTTTGATTTGGTCTTGTTCCCTTGTCCGTGTTCAACTTAAATATCTTGGCCTTTTCGTACACCATTAAAGGCACGGCACGTTTATTGGTTTTCCCAAGTCCTTCCTCCTTTTTCCATCCCAATCCGCGAAGAAAAGCATAGCCAAAGTCGTTGTAGCTTATTTTATTGTAGTCTGGATCACAATCATCTTCTTCATCATCGTTCTTCGATAATTCGGCCTTCTTTTCGTTTGGCTGAAAAAATATAACATTATATTATAGGTAACCTGCTCAGAACATTCATATTATATATATAAACTATGTTCATAACTACAAAAACTAATTAAAGACTCACCTTATCAGCTTCTAAAGCTACAGACTGAGTCGCAGCTTCTCCTCGAGCTTCTTGAAGCAGCTGTAACGTCGCCAACTGTTGATCAGTAGCGTGACCTTCTTCTTTTAGCTGTAAAAGCCGTTTGATCCGCCAATCAGCAACATCTTTTCGCCTCTCGATCACTGGCGCTGCTTTCTTCTCCTTCGCTTTGCTGAAAATCATAATTTATTCCTCATAAATAGCCAATAAACTACTTTAATCAACCCTAAACATAGAACAACATAAAACAAAATTCCTTACCCATTCAGAAGTCCACCTTCCAGATGTGTTATCTCCTGATGCTCGTCTTCATTGTCTGAAGGAACACTGTTGCTTGGCACAATGTTCGTCACCTTTTTCTTCACGTTGAACGAGATCTTCATCGACGTTTGGACTTCTGCTTGTTCACCCATGTTCTAAATCAATAAAACTATAGAGAAAATAAAGCAAAGACAAGCTAAATCAATAAAAATTAATTAAATCACGCAGTATAAAGTCTTAAGTTTGTCAAAAAGGCAGTAAATTATGAAACAGTCGAAAAAGACTGCGATTTCGCAAAAAGTAACAGTAAAGAGAAACTTGACCCAAAAGTGAAAAAAGAGTCAAGACTTGCTTCACATTCATAACTTTATGTTAAAATACGACAAGCAACAAATACGTAAACCAATCGTGATGTCACATTTCACTGATGTGTAACTAACTCCTTTATGTGTTAATAAGTGGAAAAACTTCTGTTTTCCAGTTCCGGCATGTTTCAGTAATCCAAAAAAGATGTTTTAGTGAGATAGGTTGTGCACTATGCTGCAAACAAAAGTTATACCAATTTTCATGTCAGTTCAAAATTTCTATTTTTCAGTTAATTAGTATTTGAAATAATCTAGCTTCGCTTAAATTTTTAAGTCTCTATCTATTTTAAAAAAAGTTATGATTAAAACAATCATATTGTCGTAGAGCATTGATACCTCTTGTGCAATATCACTATAACTTTCAAACTGCAACTTTTTAACTTCTCTTTTCATTTTTATTGAATAAAGCATGCTCTACCTAAGCTATAGACACCAAAATCATCTATTTTTAATTAAAACTGTATTATATACATCAACTTTTCGTCACAACATCCCACGTTCAGCGATCTAAACCGTTTATTATCTTAGAGAATACGACGATAACAAAGTATACTGTACCCGCAACATACAATATACGGCCAAAATAGTAGTAGGTAGGGTTGAAGCGAAACAGTCCGGGTTTGTATAGGGTAGGGGGTGGGGTAAAAACGGTCACGATTCTCATCATTATGATGAAGAAAAAGACTAGTCCATATGGTTGGGTAGTGCACAATCTTGATTTAATCCGCGTCCTCGTTTCGACCACTTCAAATTAACTTTAGAAGCTGCGAATTCAGAAGGCGGATCACGATGGCAATCATCAACCGAATCAATGATCGGCCTGATTTGTGGCCGCTTGTGGAAAGCCGGGTGGGGGTGGTACCCACGAGGGCTGGGTGGGTAGGGCGTTTTGCATGGCCATCTGGTGCTGATGGTACAGCATTTGGTGCTGTTGGTACATGGCGGCTGCGTGCTGTTGTTGTTGATGGCTGAGCAGGGATTGTATTCCGGCTACAAACTGCTGCTGTTGTTGGCCCAGGCCGTAACCGTTGTAGATGGCTGAAGCGGAGCTTGAGCTGGTCGGTTGGGCTGAGGTAGTTACCGGGTCCATCGACTGATTCGTGGAGGATCCTGAAGGTTGAAATGATTAGGTTACTTCACCTTTACCAATGCTTATGTTTTCCTCCACAGCCATCTATCCCTCCCTACTTTCTTACAAGCCTATACCCAGCCTACATCCTTCATTACAACCTCATTACCCCCACCTACCCTCATTTGTGAACCGGACATTGACATTGGGGAGCATGGCCTTAAAGCCCTCTCGCCAGTCCTGGCTCTGTGTTCCGTTCATCTGCCGGTAGGCCTGTAGCTTCTGTAGTTGTGCCATCTGTGCGCTGTGCTGACCATATAGTTGGGCTAGTGGGTTCGGCATTTGAGTGTGATCCACGGGGGGTGTGGGACTGTGGGAGGAGGGTTGTTGACGTTGACTGTTGGCGACGGCGGACATTAGAGCGGCGGCGGCGTGTTCACGGAACATCAGATGCTGTTTGTAGAGGTACTCGTGCATCGTCGCGTTGTAGACGCCGTTCTGTGAATTCTGGTGTGAATTTGTGTTCGTCATGCCACTGCCTATGGTGTTCATGCTATTGCCCATACTATTGATAGTACTGCCAATACTATTCATGTTACTGCCCATACTGTTGATGTTATCGCCCATACAATTGCTCATACTGTTCATGCTACTACCCATGTTATTCATTCTACTACTCATGTTGTTGTTCATGCTATTGGCCATACTATTCGCCACACTGCTTCCCATGGCCCCAGTATTCGTTATACTGCTTTGACTATGGCCTAGCTGGCCGGACTGTGTGCTCGAGTGTTGGCCGTTGGACTGATAAGCTGAGAAGATGGACTGTAGGAGGGGTGGGGTATTTTCTGACGATTTCCATTCTGAATCCAAGCCTGGCGGTCGATTCTGGATGCGGTCGAACAGGCGTTGTGACTGCATTCCTTGCGATCCAAGGCTGTTGTTGTCCATGAGGAAGCCGGTAAGAGACTGTTGACTGTTCTGGTGTTGTCGTGCCGTTGCGAACATCTCTTCCAGTCGCATCTGGGTGGCGGCATTGGTTTGTGCGGCGTTGGGAAAGGCTGGGAGACGTCGGTGGATTGGTGGCGGCACTTCTTTCGGCCTGAAATGGAAAGAATAAAAATTGTAAAGTAAACAAAACCGAAAAATATGCTTTAAAAACACTTTTAAAAGATCAAATACAGCAAAAGCAAGCCAAAAACAATATTTTTAAACCAAAAAAAAATCCTTAAAACAGCTCAAATCTTCCCCACCCACAAACTCACATCGTCTTCTCCTCCAGCACCAGATCAGCCAGTGCTTTTGACGACTCCGAAAAGGGGTCAAAGCCCAGATCGTCGTCAAAGTTGTAGCTGCTGGCTGGGAACCCTGAGGGCATGGGGCCTTCGTCTTTGGCGGTGGGGTGTTCGGATAGGATCATTCGCTCCAACTCGTCGCAGGTCGTGTATTTTGGCGCGTCTTGTGATGTGGCTTCATTCTCTTCCTCCACCTCGTTCTCTTTATTCGAATCCGATGGTGTTGAGGAGGGGACGGGTTCGTAGTGCTCGAAGCCGGGCGGCTTTGATACGGCGGGCGATTGTGATATTGACCTGTCTGGTGTGTTCTGGAAAGAGAAATAAATTATTTTAGGTGTGAAATCAGAAAGAAACTGAGACTTTTAACAACTAATACATAGAAAAATCCTTCATAAAATAAATTTTTAGGTAACAAATCTAAAAAAAATCATTTAGAAATACATTTAAAAGCTCCATATAAACCCTAAAACCCCAAAAAAATACAAAAATTATATTAACTATAAGCCAAAATGACACAATCGTTACCTTTTGTGTATCCGAAGCATCTGTGCGGTCTTCCGCACTTGCCACCGATTCGGGACTCTGTTTTCTGGACGAGGAACCTTTGACTCGGACTGGCGATGTGCTGTTGTCTGTGGCTTCTTTTTTGGATTTGTCGCTGGACTGAAAAAAAAACCGGTTGACAATAAGAAAAAGGTAATTTTTGGGCTACAACTTCTTTTACTTGTAACTAAGAATCTGACGTTTTAACCGTGACCTCAATTTTAGGCCCAAAAAACGCCTTTCTTATATCCAAAATCCCAAAATTCGGCCCAAAACCTACACTTTCTGCTTTGGCATCTGCCATCTGTTTGGCCTTCTTTTTGCGTGCAGTTTTGGTTTCTATGACTGCATCAGCTAGACTGACTAAACGAGAGGCTGAACTGGTCGAAGGCGGTTCTATTGGGTCCAGGCGGTCCGCCGGCGGCGATGAGGACTTGTTTTTCGTGCATGGAGTTTGTGACGTCAGGTCAGATTCTCTGAAATTTGAAACAGCTGAAGTTTAGGCCAAAGCAAATTTTTAAAACAGACGGACCAGATTCTTTAGCAGTCTACCCCTGACCTCTCCTAAACGAACAAAAAACACAATAGCAATGATAAACATACGATTGTTTGTGAACTCGTTTCCTTATCGATTCCATCCGTGCTCGTTCTGCCAACTGTTCGTGTAATTTGCGCTCAAAGTCAGTGTGTTTGCCAGCGTGCATATCCTCTTTGGTAAAGGAGATTTCATCGTCAGCAATCTCGTGCAGATACATACATTCCGGTTTGTGACATGCTGAGCCGCGTAGAAAGGTGGAACAATATTTCGTCGTTCCGAGCGATGCTTTCAGCATTCGGCCTTCGACTATCAGGTTGTTCACCGCCTGAAGGCAGGGAGTTACTTTGAGTAATTTTGTTAAATTAAAACTTTTTTCAAAATTTTTCCAGTTTGTGAAAATTTAACAAAATTAAAAAATTTAAGCCTAAAATTTTACAGAAATCAGTGAACTAAGCCTAAATTTTAACAAAATTCAATTTTAAGCCTGAAATTCACCAAAAATTCAAATTTAACTTAAAATTCCCAAAACACACCTCAATAGCCCTTAGGGCACTTTCCACCTTTTCGTAAGTGACATAGGCAGTGCATGAAGGCGGCTGATTGGGGTTGATTTGGACCGCCGCTCCCACCGCAATCTTCAGCACTTTGCCGTACTTGCCAAAGTACTCGGGCTTCTTGAGTACCTCAACATCAGCCATCCGATTCGATAGACCCACAACATAGACGAGGTTCTTTTGTAGTACCCGATAGTTGGCCAGATGTTTCCGCGAGTCAGCCGGTTTCGTTTTTTGCTTCGACTGCTTCTTTTCGGATTTGATGCGCTGAACGTCCGTGGTGCTCAGCGGCTGGAATGTGACTGGCTGATCCGAGTAGGGTTGTCGGCACGCCGGACATAGTCCGTTCTCGTCCTCGCGTATACGATGCCAACAAAACCGGCAGATCTGAAAATAATAGTGATTTGGGAAGAAAACATGATAAGTTAAAGAAAAAAACAAAAAAAGCTTAATAAGTTAAACGTAAAACAATATAAATCTTCCCAAACATAAGAAAATTGGCAAAACAACCTCAACTTCAAATTTCAATAAAAAAGCATATCCCTAAAATAATAAAGACAAAAATTTTAAGAACTCACTTGATATTGACATGTACAGGGGTAAAAATGTACATCATCGAAGTCGAACGGCTCCATGCACAAAGGGCACTAAAATAAGAAAAATTAAATTTTTAAAAACAAATTCTGACAATACTCTGTTTTTCGTTTTTACTTCGCATTATTACAATTTTTATTTAAAAAATTGAAAAAAACAAGTTTTTTAAAAAAGTTATGTGCGGTAAAACAACTATAACATCAAAAGACACGTGAATTTAAAAACCTTTTCTTTTAGATTAGTTAAAGCAATGAAAACCTCAGTTCACACCAAATTTCAAGCCTCTAACTCTATTTTCAAAAAAGTTATGACCAAAACCAGTTATCTTCCTAAACTGTTTCTATACCTAATACAAATGCCACGTCTTCACAGCTCATCATACCCAAATCCACAAAACTTGTTAACAACCCTAAAAGACAACAAAAAACAACAAAAATAACTTACCTCTTTATCGGTACTCTCGTCACTTGACATCCTTAAGATTGCTTCAATTTTTCAGTCGAAAAATCTGTAAGTTTTGTGTAATGAAGAAATCCAGTAAAGGTCCTCGATTAAAACACAACTGAAAAGTAAGATAACATTGTTATGACTGAAATGATTAACACGAAAGAATAGTATTTTTATCAAACCGATGTTTCGCGGATAACAAACGATTATCATTCATCAAAGCGCAAAAAGTCGGAGGAGAAAAACAAGAAACTGCAAAAAAGTTGTGAAATTCGAAAATTTTACATGTAAAATTAAATTTCCTACTCCAAAATATTAATTTCAAGCCACGAAAACCTTTTCCGACGTAAATTTACCTTTTTTATCTAAAAAAGCAAAAAATGAAGATGCCCGCTTATTGATTTGAACTTTTCTCTCTCTAAAAACAAGTTTTCTTAACTCGATTCATACTCAAAATATTAAACAAACCCTTCTCTACAAACCTATTAACAAATTTCTTTAAAAGATCCAAGTGCACCTCTTCAAAACGACATAAAACATCAAAATATACCTAAAAATCGATAAAACATCCAAAAAACTATTCCAATTCCATGCCTCAAAAAGCAATACCATTCTAAAATTGCATGGAAAATTATACAAAAACGTCACTGTAAATAGTATATTGACTTTGAATCTAAATTGACAAATAAATTCCACCCCAACCCACAAAACGAATCGATTTTTATCAAGGATAATATCGAAAAACAATCAAAATCAATCGGAACTTTGAACCAAACCGCATGAAACGCTTACACAGTAAATTTTAACTGTCTTACAATGTAGAAAAGTAATAAAGTAAACGAACTCGGTGACGTGTCATTCCGAGGCTAAGTTATTACCTTTTTAGCTGAAAAATCGATGAAAAAATAAAAAAATACCAAATTTTGAAGTCTCCTCACAATAACAAAGTAGTTTACTGTAATCTACGTATATTACTATTACAATGTTATTGGAGTTTCTATTTTTCGGCCGTAGGAAAGGAGAAAAACCAAAAATATTCGAGTTTATTGCGGAATGCCAAGATCGTGTTGGAACACAGGTTCCGGTTGTATTTTTCACGGTTGTTTTTGCCAAAATTGTTGATATTTTCATAGCCTTATTACAACTTGTTTTCAAAGTTAATTTCATAAAGATTCGACTGGGTATGGCTGAAAAATTTGGTTCCAAAAAGGGTCGATAACATAATTTTAAAAAATTTTTGAAAATAGTGAAAATCAAAAAATCAACCCTGCGGCTACACAAAACCCTTCCCGGAGCTGTGGCCGACTGGTTATCCACGTCGACCGCTTTTCCCATAAACGAGATCACGCGGACCTTCGGGGCGAACGGTGGGGGAAAAATGCGGCGAAAATCATTATCGTTCCGTTTGTCTTTTTATATCAACAATGTGGAAAATACAGAGTGCGGGAAACAATAAACGGATGGTCATGTGATTCTACGCAAATTTATTGAAATTCTAGGGCGTACGGTATGTGGTAACAGGTTTGTTTCGATGTTAGCCACGATGAACATGGGTAACATGGGCTTTCATCGAGTATAACTTTTAAACTGGTTGACACGATTAGAAGGGTGATAACAATATGAAAAGAACATTTCATTGCGCTTCTAACAATGTATAAAGTATACTATTTGAATAATTCAAAAAAATGGTACATGGAAATGAATGTTACTCATCTACCTCAATATAAAAGGTGACAATGTTTGACGGTTTTCAGGTCAAAAATCTATGTTTTAATGCAATTACGTTATACAATCCCAAAGTTAAACTCATTCTACAGCTTTTAATTATACTTTGAATTTAAAAACTTCCCAAACAATCAAAATATTACTCATCAAAGCTAGTGTAATATCCAAGTATACCCGGTTTGCAAAACAGCCCTTTAAATCCGTTTCAAATGTGGAAACTCGAAATAATCCGTTAGTTTAACTAAGAATACATTTTACATTCCCACGCATAACAATTTTTACCTACGTGTTATTTGTCGTGGTTAACATTACCTACGTGGCTAGTATAATATTAATGTTTTTAGGTGAATTGGGAACATTGTTATGAACAATTAGGGAATATATCGATAAGAAAAGATACGTACTATCAAGTAAAATAAAAAATATTGATGGAGAAGGCGATATAGGGACTTTACCACGGTAAAAAAACTGATGAAGAAGGCAATATGGGGACTTTATTACTAACCATTACTTGGCGGCTTTACTACTAAAATAAACCATTAAACTTACAACCCTCCCCAAATCTAATGTTGGCACAATGATAATAGGTTACGTCAACCATTCGTGCCTCTATGGTAATTTCTACCATGAATGTATACACGACGAATTGGTTGAGAGTAACCGGCTGACCGCAGTAAAAGTGAAAAACGCGTTCGAAAGCGCCTCGAGCTCCGAAAATTGAAGAGAATTGGGAGGATGAGGGAAAGGAGCACGGGCTACAATGGAGAGGCCTGAGAACGGGCGATGGAGTATGCGAAACGATGAGGGAGCCGAGAGTTGGTGAGGGAGTGTGCTGAACAATGGAGAATCCTGAGAATAAGCGAGAGAGCTTGGGGAACGATGAGCGAGCAGCGAGTGTATGAGAGAGTAAGGAGAACAATGAGGTAGCAGAGAGTGAGCTAGGGAGTGCGGGGAACAATGAGGGAGTAGAGAGGGGACGAGGAAGTAGAGGGTTGTAAGAGGTAAACAATTAAAGAGTGTGGGAACTAAGAGAAGGCAGTAAGTGAACTAGAGACTACGCAACCGTTAGAGGACAGTTAGGTCCAGTTAGGTCAGGAGGATAAGTCTGGGCTAAAAGGAAAAAGCTTGAGAAAGAAGAATAGAGCGTGGGGAACTGAGAGGAATTAGGGAAGGGATGAAAGGGCCTGGAGAACAGACAAGAGAGTTCCAGACAGTGAGAGGGTGCAGAATCTAAAGAACGACAAAATATCATTGTTTTCAAAGAGATACAAGACATTTTATCAGAGAAAAAACGAAAAAAATTGTTCTATGGTATAGAATAGAAAAGACAAAGCAAAAAAACGAGAGCAAAGAGGAAAAGACGATAGATAAGGCAAAAAACAGAGAGCACAGACAAAACGACAATGAAAAATGAAAAAGAACAGACAGTTAAAGACCTGAATTTTGAATAACAAGAATACAATACATATTCTGAAGACTCTAGGCTTGTTAGAAAGCTTAGAAAACGTTATATGTCACAGAATATGAAAAGTACAAAGAAATATTGTATTATCTAAACAAAATAACTAGAGAGTATAAAAAGCATAGAGACGACATGTCGCGGTAGAGAACTTATCATAGTCAACAAGCATTGTGCAGATAACAAAACAAGAAGAGAGAGTACTATGGAAATGTCACACTATTTAAAGAGAGTATTATGGAGATAGAGAAGTTGCTAAGAAAATATCATGGTTATGAGAGAGATTACTATAGATATTTCATGCCAATTAGTCAGGTCATAAAGCTATTTTTTCTTCTCAAAAAATGATTTATCGCTGTGAGACGGCAGACAACAAAAGCCCCAAAATTAGAGATTGTTAGTAAACAAGAGAGCGGTTAGAGATAAAAATAATTGAAAACCCAATTCGAGGAAAAAGTGTGAAAGTTAAGCTTCCGCAAACAGCTAGCCAGACAAGCAGAAAGCCTTGGAAAACTAGATTTTCGGGCAACGTAAAGATCGTTGGGAGATGAGAGACGGCTAAGAAAACTGAAATTTAAAGTGTAGGCATTAGGGTTTAGCGTATTAACGTAAAAACAGTAAAAATATTACTGGAAATAAGAAAGTTTTATCAAAAATGTCAGAGTATTACTAAAAATGAGAGAGTAAAAAACTTTTTTAAGCTTTCAATAGAAAAACGAAATAGTATTGACAAGTTAGAGACGACAGAGTTTGAAAAAACATGAAAAAGCGAATTAAATGCCACACAAATTGAATAAAAGCTAGACCAAAAATAAAAAGCTTAGAGATTAACATAATTGGTGAATAACATAGTCTATATGAAGTTCCAGTGAGTCAGAGGGTAGTTGAAGAAGGCATGAAAAGATTAGGTTTAGATATGGTAACATTAGGCTTCTCAATAGTAAGATTAGGCTTATTTATGGCAACGTTAAGCTTAGTTATAGCAAGGTTAGGACGAATCTTACCAAGGTGGGCAATGGTAAGATTCGTCTTAAAATAATAATGCTAAGCTGAAAATTGATAACACTAATGGACATGAGTATCATAATACCATAAGGCTTAACCGTGATGATATAAACATTTAAAAAATGATAACAAAAGGTTTAGGCTTATTACAAACAGTTTTCTTTTGAAGCGTTAAACCTATCTCCAAAAACATCGCTTTTTTATCTTTATAAACATCTGATTCGCTGTGTAAGTGTGTGACCGGCTACACATGTTCGTATGATATCACGATGAAAACAGACTATATGATACATGCACTTTTAATAGATACATTGACGTGAGTGTGACGAGTAGACGTACGGTGCGGTAGATAGTACTAGACGTACTGCCGGTAGATAGTACTAAGTTAGCTATAGTATTACCCTACCCTACCCTACTTTAGCCTTGTCTACCTATAGGCGTATCATACATCATTTTTAAGCTAGTCATACCATATCCTTTCTTTTAACTTATTCTAGCCATCCTCACCTTTTCCTTGCCATGCCCTAACCTAACAAGGTGGAGGCAGCCATTCTGTTCCTAAAGGTAGGATCTGCAAAGCGCATGCCACGCATAATATTATAGTGTACATGTCTTCACAATAACTACTATGTAGGCAATATAGTTTTTCGCCTTGATTATGACATAGGCAAAAGCCTACGAATTCATATGCCAATTTAACATGCTTATTATATTTCTTTGCAAATAACAGCCTTTATGGCCATTTATGGTGTTTTTCTTTACAACTAATAGTATTTCATTGCAAGGTAATGCTTTACCTTATTATTAAAATGTTATAATGGTTTTAAAATTGCCACTT